GGCATATCACGTGTGAATGTGGAAAGAAATACATTGGACAAACGTCCCGTCCCCTAGAAATAAGATACAAAGAACATCAAGGTCACATGCGTAGAGGTGAATTTCAGATATCTGCTTTAACGTATCATCAAAATGAAACAGGTTACAGTATAGTTTGGGATGAAATTCTTCTCCTACACCAATCCAAAACTTAAAAGCAAAGAAACTATAGAAACCATCAAAGGAAACGATCTCTCATTAAACCCTTATTTGTGTTTTTTTGTTTTGAAGAATATAACTATTAACACTAGAACAAAATTTTATCTTTAGCAGTAGCTCTACTGGAACGAAGAATTTTGAAAATTTGCTTTCCATTAGATATGTTTTAGCTTAGTAATATTCTTTCTAAATATACTCCAAAATTATAAATATACTAATCATCGTGCAAACAACCAAAAATATGCTACCATCAACAACAAATTCTGAATTTCAGAAGTTGTTCTGGTTGATTGACTGAAAATACATATATTTTTTTTTTTAATTCATGACTTACAAATGTAGTTGAATTCACGAGGAAACAGAATGTTATGGTTTTGATACTTATTGTTTATAGCCTGTTAAAGGAAAAGTATTCTTATTCAGAAGTATGTAATTATAATGGTCAACCGTATAAAACGTAGAAATGGCTAGAAAATAATTTTTATCATTTTATAAAATATGTCCCCCAGTGGCTAGAAACTTGGTTTCGATACTCATGTTGGGCAGAGCACAGATAGCCCATTGCGTAGCTTAATTACAAACAAAGAAACTTATAAGATACTTCACAAAATTTACTACTTTGCGATATTAACACTATTGTGGTCCTTAACAGAAGGAAGAAATTTGGATGTTTTCAAATTTGTACTTGTTTTTTCAAGTATTATTTGTTTCTCATACACACACACACATATCTTGTTTCTTACAAAACAAACTTTTTGAAAGTTTGTAACACACAGTGCAATTAAATTAATATATATGTAATACTGCAATCCAACCAACATGTAGTGACCTACATAGGTTGATAACACGTTGTGCTTATTTGTTGATTTTTCTCACTTTGAATGAAAATCGGTGATTCTTCGTGAGCTATAAATCAAACAATAACGACGTGCATGTTAATTTTATCCAAGTTTGCTCCAAAACTGTCCAATCGACCGTTTGACTGTAAAGAAAATCATCCTTGTACATTTTATTCACTTGCCAACATAGGAATTAATATGATAAGAAGCTTATACTTACGTCCATCACTAAACTTACTCCAAGCCTGTAGACGTCCGACTGGAAGATAATCAACATAAACTGAACATCACACGTTTAATCAGTTCTACCGCGTATTGATAACCCGAAGTTTCTTCTTCACCATGTTAGTTATGCAGCTTCCTAACTGCGTAATTTAATTAATATGTTTCTACAAACCAATAAAATACTACTTTTATCATTACTCTGGAAAGAAAGATACAATACTTTAAAATGTCTGTGAATTAATTTTACAAAGACTGTCTTGTACATGCTGACGACATCTACCAATCTTTTATCAACCTACAGGATATAATTATAAAAAAAAATTACCTGACACTTTAGATTACAAATGCTGACGACATTTACCAACCTGCAGGATATAATTATAATAACGTTTACATGAGAGTTTAAAATACACATGCTGACATCTACCAATCCTTTATCAACCTACAGGATATAATTATACAAAAGTTTACCTGACACTTTAGATTACAAATGCTGACGACATTTACCAACCTGCAGGATATAATTATAATAACGTTTACATGCTGACATCTACCAATCCTTTATCAACGCTTGATAAAGGATTGGTAGATGTCAGCATGTAAACGTTATTATAATTATATCCTGCAGGTTGGTAAATGTCGTCAGCATTTGTAATCTAAAGTGTCAGGTAAATTTTACTATAATTACATTCTGCAGGTTGATAAAGGATTGGTAGATGTCAGCATGTAAACGTTATTATAATTATATCCTGCAGGTTGATAAAGGATTGGTAGATGTCAGCATGTAAACGTTATTATAATTATATCCTGCAGGTTGGTAAATGTCGTCAGCATTTGTAATCTAAAGTGTCAGGTAAATTTTACTATAATTACATTCTGCAGTAGTGTGTAAACGTAGAAAACGTCCCAGAACTCTTATAATTCAATAAATAGTCAAGAATCAAACTCAACTGTTTTTAATGTTTACAAAAGAGTTTTAACGTCTAACAGAAAGCCCATACATAATGCAAAACTGTATTTTAGCAAACAGAGTTTATTTCTTACCTTTGTGCGATAGAAAATAGAAGCCTTCAGTTTATCAGTCAGAAGTTCAACCATACTGGTGTGTCCAAGCTCTGTCGCTAGGTGGAGCGGAGTTCTATCTTGTTTGTCGGGGATGTTTGGATTGGCATTAAATATACTGAAAAGTTTTACCAAAGCTTCATCTCCTCCAGCTGCAGCAATATGTAACGCGGTTTGGCCTTCGTGCTGTTGAACAAAAACAATAGTTTAGAAAATGCTATTAAATACATTTTATCAATCAACTGAGTATATGTCTATTATAACCTGACACCCTCAAAACTGTATTCAGTAGTTTGAGAAAGGATTAGTAAATACTTTCAGCATTTGTAATCTAAAGTGTCATGTAAATTTTACTATAATTACATTCTGCACGCAACACTTCTGGGGCTGCTATAATTCCGTTTCAACGTATACAAACTATTAATACTCCTGGGGCTGCTATAATTCCGTTTCAACGTATACAGACTATTAATACTCCTGGGGCTGCTATAATTCCGTTTCAACGTATACAAACTATTAATACTCCTGAGACTGCTATAATTCCTTTTAAATGTATACAAACTATTAGTTTGTATACATTTAAAAGGAATTATAGCAGTCTCAGAAGTATTAATAGTTTGTATACATTTAAAAGGAATTATAGCAGTCTCAGGAGTATTAATAGTTTGTATACATTTAAAAGGAATTATAGCAGTCTCAGGAGTATTAATAGTTTGTATACATTTAAAAGGAATTATAGCAGTCTCAGGAGTATTACAATATAAATTAGCAAAGTAGCCTGTGTAACAATATAAACTAGTTTGCAGAGACGATAGCATGTATACACGATATAAAACTAGCATGTGTACAGATATAAACTAGTTTGTATATAAAATATAAACTAGCCTGTAAATACGATATAAATTAGCATGGATACACGAGATTTATCCTGACAACTGTCACGGAGCTGTAAACAAATTAAGGGGATCCAATGTTGCCAGCCTGTCACACACAACGTCCAGAGGCATCGTTTTAGCACGAAGGAATATTGCCCCCTTAACCCTTGAAACCATAGTTACGTGTCTGTTAGTAGCCGCCATGAGAGAGATATAAACATCTCTCCTGTTTTATAAAATATATGATATGAACATTTCTGGTAAATGAAAACATTGTCTCGTTTTAGCTATTTAATGACGATTTTATCTTTGTTAAGTTAGATTAGTAGCGTCTAAACACCAGAAATGAAAACATATGTATAATATTTCAGTTAACACTGAGATAAAAAATACACATTCTCATAGAGGTGATAAAATATATTTCTTATTCATCACCAGCTTACCCGAAATCATAAGGAAAAATAATGAATACATTTCACGAAGGAAAGTCAGTCAGTCTGTTAATCCAACATTGTATTAGCACAAGAATGTTAAGAGTTGTGTAAACATAGAAAATGATCTATAGCAGTCTCAGGAGTGTTGAATAGTTTGTATACGTTGAAAATGAACCATAGCAGCCTCAGAAGTGTTGAATAGTTTGTATACGTTGAAAAGGAATTATAGCAGTCTCAGGAGTGTTGAATAGTTTGTATACGTTGAAAAGGAAGTATAGCAGTCTCAGGAGTGTTGAATAGTTTGTATACATTTAAAAGGAATTATAGCAGTCTCAGAAGTATTAATAGTTTGTATACATTTAAAAGGAATTATAGCAGTCTCAGGAGTATTAATCGACCAAACACTAACTTGTAGACACGATATAAGGTAGCCTGTAGACACAATATAAATTAGCAAAGTAGCCTGTGTAATATCGTATATATAACGGCTAATATATATTGTGCCTACACGCTATTGTGTCTACAGGTTAGTTCGTATCGTGTATACAGGCTAGTATATATCGTGCTTACACTGTAGGTTATATTGTGTATACAGGTTAGTTTCTATCGTTTCCAAGGGCTCGTTTATATCGTATATATAACGGCTAATATATATTGTGCCTACACGCTATTGTGTCTACAGGTTAGTTCGTATCGTGTATACAGGCTAGTATAAATCATGCCTACACTCAAGGTTATTTCGTATATACAGACTAGAAAATATCGTGCCTACACTCTAGGTTATATCGCGTATACGGGCTAATTTAGATGAAGAGTTTTATAGAGAATTAAGAAAAATATACCATCTAGTGTTATCAAAAACAAAAAAATTCATTGCCCCCCTCTAAAAAAATGTTCAAGATTTTGGTTGATTGTCCCTTATTTACTCATTCCATTGACCTTCCTCTGGTGATATTAAACTTAAACCATAAAAAATGATAGTTTAAAATCAGCAGAAGATGGGTGTTACGGATCTTAAACATTGTGAACATTAAAACGTACATTTGGTCGTATACCATTAAAAAAATCTATATGGTATCATATGTTTTTTTTCTCTTTTTGGTTTTCGATTTAAACGTAACACAGGGTTTTTGTATGACTTTTTAACTTGATTATTTATTTTTACCTCAACTAAGTGCATAAGAGTTTGTAGTTATTAATCTGTTTTATGAAAAAAAGAAAAAGATCGCTGACCTTAATCAAAACTTTTATCAAAAGAGACGAGACAAAACTATTTTTTTTTTCGTTTTTCTATAGTTCTTCTGGATAAACAGTCGGGAATTATATAATGTTATAAAACCCTGAAACCAACCTTTATTTACTTACAGGACGGCAGCACATTATTACACATAGCCTCAGCAGCAGGACATCCTGAAACAGCTATGATTTTCATGAAAAAAGGTGTCCCTCTTCACATGTCTAATAAGGTAAGGCATGATATGAATTAATATTACTACTGTAATACTAAAAGAATAATCCGAACCCAAGCGTCAGAATTTTTAAATTCACTTTCTAATTTTGAAAAGGAATTTCTAAATATTTAATATCTGGTTTCTTAGAAATATAAACAAAACTTCTAGATTGGTCTCAAGTTGTTATTCTTCAAAGCAAGTTTTTCTCAGCGAAATTTTAAGTGGATTTAATACTTTGTCAGTACGGTATTTAATTTTCACTTAGCTCATTCATTATACGTGTGACTGGATTTTGTAGTGAAATATTTTTGTTTGTACTTCAAGTTTTAATTAAACATAAATGTAGAATATCGTTTGTTTTTTCTCTCGCTAAAACATTATCAGGAATACAAAAAAGATTCAGCTAATATGGCATTTTTTTTTCTAGGCTGGTGCTAAGTGTATTCATACTGCCGCTCAGAAAGGCTATGTGAATGTGGTACGAACTTTAATACAGAAAGGAGAAAATGTGGACGTCACGACTAATGTAAGTAAAATCAATGTGCCAAGCGGAACTACTTACCATTAACAACTCCAAATGTTAAGTTTTGTAATAATATTTTATATCAGATATATATATATATACTGATAGTGTAAGTAAATTATATTTTACTCTGTTTTTAATGTTAAATTCATTTAACAACATCGATTAAAATGCTTAATATATCAAATATTTGAACATATTTATTTATTTTTATCAAATATTATTTATCATTATGTCTGCTTTGCTTTGTTCGCTTACTATTACGTTTTCGGACTAACCTTAATCTGGTTAGCAGGCAGAACATCGTGAAATATTAATGGGATTACGGACGAAAATATCGCTAACAGCGAGGGTACCCAACTGATGAGTCAATGCATTCTAATCATTAGCTATTCATTACTTAGTTAGTTCTTCATATTTGTAGATAGCTTGTTTTAATAAGAAAATATTGATAATTTATAACTGACAAACTAACTTCTTACTGAATACTTAAATAAAGAAATTAACTGCATGTCAGGTATGTAATGTAATAAAAACTAAAAAAAACAAAAACAACAGTGTGCTTAGTGTTATATATGTGTATAGACTAATTAGAGTATCAAAAAATACTAATAAATTTATTTTACAATAATGAATGTATTTGAAGCACCTAGGGATGGCACAGACCAGAATGGCCTAGTGGTTAGTGTGTCAGGACGGTGAATATGTTGCTGAATTAAAATAATGAAGGTCTTACTCTACTGTTCGGTCAGACAAGATTAGCCCAAGAGATGGCAGTGAATGCAGTTGTCTCTCTGTCTTCCCTCTAGTCTAGAGCCGATAGAACTTTGTGTAGCTTCGTACGAGAAAAACTAAGAACTACGTATTACAGAGAACAACAATATTGTTTAACAACGTTTGGTAAATGTAAGGATGTTCAGTAGGAATAAACATTGTTGGGTTCATTACTAAGAAGTAGTTTGCTTGAAAATAAAGTTAGACTATGCCATCTACTGTTGCATTCTGTAAATCACCCTTTTCTCAAACCGAAAATAATTACACAAATTAACATAATGTTTCATCACTGTATTCCAATTCTTCTCTTCTTTTGTAAATAAATGTGTGTATCGGCCTGGTCTGATTTACTTTATTTGGATCAAAAATGTGGGTAAATAAAAAGTTACAAAATGCCATGAAAAGTACTTATCTACAGCGCTTGTTTGTTTGTTTTTAAATTTCCCGCAAAGCTACACGAGGGCTATCTGCGCTAGCCGTCC